GCAGCAATAGCTCTTGGGATCTTTGTAGGAAAGTAACATTGCTACATTTGTTTCTTGTCAGCGTCTCTTGCTTCTGAACTTTTGCCAAGAAAAGCCTTTGGCAGGGTGCCAAATAAGACAAAGGTTGGTGATAAGGCTGAAGGACTGTTTATTTGTTAATTTGTTCTGGACTTAATTTGGACTAAGCTGAGAATGAAGTAATTCTCAGCTGTTCTAATAAAATATGTTTGTTTAAGACTGATTGTGTCTGGTAATAACTACTTGGGCCTAGGTCATAACATAGGGGAGGCAGAATACCTGTTCGATTCACTAGCAATAAAGATTGAGGCAGTGGTGAAATCTAAAAATTTTTTGCTACCGGTTATGTGGGCGTGGTTTGGTGGTCATGTGACTGGGTGGGCATGGCCAACTTGACATCACTCATGTCACTCACTGTTAGAGCCAGGAGCTGCACATTCTGAAGCATGTTCTGCCCTTCTGAAACCCCCAACGCTTTGAGTTTCCTTCCGCCATCTGGCATGGGATGGAGAGAGCTTTCTCAGAACTTGCACAGGACTCCCTGTCACCTGTCACATTTACTTGGGGGGGGGTTCAAATCCCAGAGCGATTGGGAAATTAGTGTCTTTTCACTTGTCACCAACACCTTAGGGTTGGGATGTGCACTAGCTCCTCACCTGAACCCCCGAGCCTCCATCGGCGCTGCAAACGGAGCCAAGACTTCCTAGGTGGGCCACAGCAGGATGATGCAGTTGGCCACAGCCAGGGCCAGCCCCGCACTCTCTCCGTCCCACACTCAGTTCATTTTCCTTCCACGCAACCATCAATAGCTCCCTCTTTAACACGATTTATAGACCTCAAATCTCAGCGTTTGCAGCTGACAGAATGCCAGGCCCTTCCTGGAACAACCCACTGCCCCCCCCAACCTGGCTGCAGATGTCCACCTGCCCTCCTGGAGCACCACTGCCACCGTTCCCTTTCATTTCACAGCGGGAGAAGGAAGAAAGTGAACAGCACTGCCACGATGGTGCTTCAGGGGGGTAGGTGGATGTCTCGGGGTAGTGCAGCAGTGTTGTCTCCACCAAGGGCCACCTGACCACCCACTGGCCAGGCCAGGCCAGGCTGGATGCCGGCCTCGGAAGGCAAGCAGGCGTGGGGGACCACCTGGAAAGCAGGCAAGCATGGCAGGGCTGCGGGGAAGGGAGCTAGCAGCCTACTCCATTCCCCACAGCCCTGCCATGCTTGCCTGCCTTCCACACTGCGTTCCCGGCGGTCCCCCATGCCCACTTGCCTTCCGAGGTCAGCGTCCGGCCTGGCCAGTGGGTTGGCAGGCAGCTCTTGGGGGAGACACCATCGCTGCGCTGCCCCGGGACATGTACACAGCCCGGGACATCCACCTGCCCTCCCGGAGCACCACCGCGCCGCCAGTGTTCACTTTCTTCCTTGTCCCACCATGAAACAAAAGCGAAACTGACCTCGGAAGGCAAGCGGGCCACCGGGAAGGCAGCATGGAAGGCAGGCAAGCATGGCAGGGCTGCAGGGAAGGGACTAGGCTGCTAGCTCCCTTCCCTGAAGCCCTGCCATGCTTGCCTGCCTTCCATGCGGCCTTCCACTTGCTTGCCTTCACAAGCTGGCCACGGGGATGCTGAGAAGGCAACGCGGAAGCCAGGCAAGGATGGAAGGGCTGCAGACCAGTTCGGGGGTGTGGCCAGCTAGCAGTCGCTACTGGTTCAGTAAACCAGCCCCAATGTCCGCTACTGGTTTGCCCGAACTGGTCCGAACCAGTAGCATTTCACCCCTAGGTTGAGGATCTAGTTAGATCCAAGTGGCACCCTATCTGCTACACATGGTTTAATGAGTGCTTTGCCCTGATCATATCCCATGCTGAGTAGAAAACTTGCAGGGAAACCCATGGATCAAATTTTAAGTTGCCACTACCTTTTTACATGTGATCTGAAAATCATTTCCCATAATTAATTCCATAATTAATTCCATCAGAAGAGCTGAGGGCAAAAAAAGCTTATGGTTGAGTATGTCATCCACATTCTAGCCTAGGATCTGAACAAATTCTAATGGTGCAAAATTAAAGATGGACATCATAACAAAGTTGTGCTATTGATCGGAAATAATTTGAGTGCTTTAGGTGTTAGTCGACACCTCTTGTCTTAATGAATTTATTTTATTTTTATTTTTATTTTATTGAATTTATATACCGCCCTACTCCCGAAGGATTCAGGGCGGTGAACAGCCATAGAGTAAAACATATAAATACAAAATTTAAAATATAATAAAACGAATTAAATAATTTGGCTATTAAGGATGGCAGATGAGCTTCTCTGTATATTTTCAGTAATGTAGTCCCCATGGGTTTCCTACTGTTAGCAGTACACTCCTGGGTATTTGAAATAGGAGACTTACTTAGTCTTGTAGACATCTATGCTCTAGGGGTGGCTTTTGGGCTTTTGGCATATGCCATGATTTTAGTTTTCTGATAATTGAGGTGTAGCTGGTCTTTCTTCTTTGAAATGCTGTGTTAGAGCTCTCAGTGTTCTTTTAAGGCTTGTAAGTATTCTTGAAAGTATTGCTGCATTGTCCGCCTAGACTGCAACAAAGATGTGTCTTCTAGCCACTTTTGGAGAGTGAAAGTTTGTGTTAAGCTACCAGGGAATTGATATAGAAGTTGAATAGGACTGAGGCTAATATGCAACCTTGCTTGACACATTTCTCAGTTTCAATTACAGTGGTAAGATGGTCCTGGAAGTTTCATCTTATTTTGACTAAGGTCCCTTCATAAAGCATACATATTAGATGAAGTAAGCATCAGTAAATCAAGGAGACTTCCTCTTTTTTCCCATAGTTTAAGTTGGGATATAGAATCAAAAGCTGCTTTGAAGTCTGTGAAGGCAGCATAAACAAAGTTTGTGTTCAGGAGGATTATTTTTTGATGAGATGTGGAGTAATTAGGCACTGATAAATGGTGGAGCTGTCTTTTATAAAATCAGCTTGCTCCTTTGCAAGTATGTTTTCTTGTTCCAGACAAGGGAATCTTGAGCAACAAGAATCTTGATGTCTGTTATAATGGCAGAATTTCTATAGTTTGGCTAGGATCTTCAATTCCAGTAGAGGTATCCATGTAGAGTATGCCTTCCAGGTCCTTGGGGGGATGTGATAGTCCACAATGAATGGGCCATTGGTTTCGGCTCTTCTCTGTGTAAAATACATTAAAATTATTTTTATTATATTACATGAACAAAATGAGCAATTCTATATAAAAAATGAATCCTATTAAGTTCAATTTTAAGTAAAAAGGCTTTCATTGTTGAAATGTCTGTTTCAAGAAGCAGGTAGTCTTCCCTTAATGACCATTCATTCAGTGACCATTCAAAGTTCTAATAGTCCTTAAAGTCTTTAAAGTTACAGTTGCTGTCCCTGTGATCAAATTTTTAGCATTTGCAAGCCTTCTCACATTTAGGATTGCAGCGTGTGCTTCAATTCCTCTTGCCTATCTCTCCACAAATCTGTCCTTTTGACTGTCTTACCACTGCTGCGTGCCCTTGCCTATCCCAGATACCATCCCCATCTTCTTCCTCCTCTTCTTCCTCCTTCACCTGGCCAAGGCAGCATCCTGAGGTGGGGGGAGATAGTCAGACTGGGAGTTGAAGTAGAGGCAAGCCCAGCAAGAAAAAAGAAGCATGTGGCCTTCACCTAACAATGTGGTCACCCTTTGAGAGTTGTATGCATTGAAATTTCATTTTAATGTATGCCGATTAGTGTACATTAAAAGTGACAATAAAATTATAATGTTAAAAGTTATTCTAATGATTGCAACTGGGACTACCACAACTGCTGTCATTTAGCAGTGCAGTCATGTGATATTCTATCTAGTAACCATTTCATTCATTTAGTGATGAATATTCTGGTTCCAATTGGCATTGTTAAATGAGGACTATCTGTACTGAGTGGGAAGCATTAAAGAAAACTATTTCAACATGCTTTCTGCTTATGCTAATCCACTATACAGTGAATAGGAGGCTAAAGTATTAGGTATGTACACTGCCTTGAGTTATACTTTAAAAAAGTGGAATAAATAATAATAACAGCAGCTAAACACCCGCATTTTGGAATGATTCCTTAATCAAATTATTGAACATATGTTGATTGTTGTATTAGTCTCTCCCTCTTTTGTAACTATAAATGAAAAATATGTTTCCAGTTCTATTTGCCTGTCCCTGCCAGTTATTATTATATATTGATAGCCTATTTCTTCAGCAGATGGAGAAAAACTTTGTGGGAATTAGTAGAATGGCTGATATTGAAATGCTCAAGATGAAAGTTAAATTTGTGTACTTTGAGTCAAGCTTGGCTGTCAATAGAACAAGCAATTCTCTTTAAAGCGAAAAAAGCCAATCTCTGTGTCATGTTAATTTGTGTGATGGATAACAGAAAGATATGCTCTTTTTATTTTTCTGTAGATTTTCAGAATACAGAAGCTATTTGGTGTTGCTTCCACAACAAATTTGCCACTTTAGAAATTTTGACAAACACTTTATACTGTGAACAATTTCCAAACCAAGGCTGCGAAAATTGATAGGGATATCTGTTTTATTTCCAAAAATTTTCTTATAAAAAATAAGTAATTGCATAGGCTAGAGCAAGTGAGTTGTACACTCCTACAGTGATACACTGTTACTTTACAATTAAGTCAGGGGTGGGTTCTACTTACTTTTACTACCGGTTCGCAACGGTACCACGCATACGCGCTCACTTCTCTCACGCTCTTCTGTGCAAGCGCAGAAGCATTTTGATGATGTCAGGGTCAGTGGGCGGAGCCTCCCACCAGTTTTACTACCGGTTCTATAGAACCGGTGCAAACGGGGGCAACCCACCACTGAATTAAGTCTACTCTGATGGATGGAAAATATTATAATGAAAATAGAGGGGGTATTATTTCTTTATCCTGCTATTTATAAACAAGACTATGTTCTGTATCCCTTAATTTTAAGGTAACAGAGTTGCACAACATCAAAAACATAACCAGACTGCCTCGAGAAACCAAGAAGCATGCAGTAGCAATTATCTTTCATGATAAGACATCAAAAACATTTGCCTGTGAGTCAGGTAAGCAGTTATTACCGTATCTTTAACTTAAGTAAATTTTGCTACTTATGAAACAGTACTTCATATGGATTAAGATACATTGTTCATCTTAATAGGAATGTGCAATAGCTGTTTGTTTGTTTGTTGCATGATGTGGTGGTATATCTCCCCCTTTCTGTATTTTTAAAAAACTTCTGTTCTTATTTATTACTTATTATTTTTGTTAGTTTGTACCCCTAGGTGGACAAAAGGTCCCTTTCCAGTTTCCAGTGCAAATTTTAGAGCTGAATAAACATTGCCTCAGGGAAGCTATAAGAGAAGCATTGATGTGCATTTTTGTTGGTTGCTAAGCTTGTTAAAGGCACGTGCTAGAATATTAAAAATCCCATGCGTGTAAGAGGAGTTTAGAAAGAACTGTTCTAATTCCAGGTTAAATTCACCTTCAGTTTAATTTTATTTGTGGCTAATTTAGTTTTCCAATATTACAAACAAAGTCATATGATTCATGAGGAAAAAACTTAAAACATTTCTCATTGGAATAAATTTTCTATTTTTAAAATCACAGTATGCATTGGAAATAAATTATACTATAATAGACTCTTAAATTTCTCTCCCTCTCTCTCCCTCCCTCCCTCCCTCTCCCTCCCTCTTCCCAATGGATGGATATGTTTCTAATGGACCAGCAGAGGCCTATGGATAGTAGTAATAGCTCTCTCCTCTTTTGGTCCTTAATCAGAACTCCTTTTGTTCTCCCATAGAATCAAAAGCATGTTTCCCAGCATGATGTCCAACTATTGATTCCCTTCTCCTTCATTAATTCTAAAACTAAGCTGGTGGCTGTCACCATATTTTGAGGACACAAATAGCATTGTTTTATTATGCACTATGTGAAATTGTACTGGCTTTTTAAGGATCTAAATCTGTTATCATTTAGGCTCATTTAAAGTGTTTATGTTGTAGAACTCTATTTCTCACATGTCTATGCTGCCAGTAAGCAGTGTACAGCAAAGAAAAAAGGTTAACAATTGTGGAACATTGAAAAGCAAAATATATAGTGCAGTGGCACTAATCAAAAGGATAGATATCAAAACCTAGCATCCGCATAATGTTGTACCTCAGCACAAGGTTTTCATTTATTTGAAAACCCATTAGAGTAAAGCAGAGTTTCTTAACCTCTGCAGCTTTAAGATGTATGGACCAGAATTCAGTCCAGTGACTTGTGTGTTAAATGAAATGTTGGGAATAAAGCTTTTAGCTCCCACCTCATATACTGATTACCCATATAATGTTTCCTTATGTTTATTTTATTTTGAAATGTGGTGAACAAAATTATATTGAATTATCTAGCCAGTGATGCATTATAGAATATATACATGCTACTGGTATGAAATACACCAATAGTATTTTGGTGTATTTTTCACAGCAGCTGAATTTTTGCAACTACTCAGCTATTTACTATAACTCAAATTCCTTACCTATTCATATTCATTGCATTACATATTTTGGATAGGATTTTACCTGTATGTTTGTTCTCCCAGCATTAGGAGTCTCCATAAATCCTAATTTTACTATCATCAATAGCTAAAGATCATTCACAAAAGTGTCTGCCTCACTGCTCCCCCTTGTGGAATCTCCACTTTTCATTTTATTTATTCAATTTTTATCTCAACAAGTGACTCTGGGAGGCTAAAAAACAAAAACAAATAAACACAATTACAATACAAAATTGAAAACATACGGCAGTTGAGAAATATACCCCATAATCACTAGCACAGCCAAGAAATGGCTCCCTGAATATACTCAAGGCCCCATCATTATATCATTCTGTGCAGGTACTGCCAGTTGTGTGTGCACACTCATATATAGACAGCTGGATATGGCTTTGGAAATAGCTTTGCCAGTCTTCCAAAAGATATAGCTTGCTTATATTTCAAGGAAGAGTCCTTAGCTTGCATTAACATGATTTAAAATTTACCTCTTTTAATGCTTTACATGGCTCTACTCCATATATAAATGTCTTATTAATGCCAAGGGTTTCAAGACTCTAAGAATGTTAAACTGCAGACAAGCTTCAAGAGACAGTGAGAAATGTAGTGTCACAAAAGCATATTGTGGTTCAAATGAACTATAGAGGTATAACTGAGAAAATTGTATGAAATTGTAATGGAACACCAACAAAGAAAAAGAAAAGAAAGGATTTAGATCCTTAAATTAGAACCAATTTAAAGTCCAAAATACAGTAATGAGTATTTGAAGGCCGAATCAAGTGATTGGTTTCCTTTCTGCCTTAAGGATCCTGCCAACCATCATCAATTCCATGTTTTTTTTTAATTTAGAGCCAAGCTTAATCAGCAAATTGATCTTAAACAGTTTGATATTTCCATATGATTTCATAAAGTGGCTTCATAATTAGCCAAGAAGAAAAGGAAATAAAAAGAAACGATGCCATGCATCATAGAAAATATGTAAAGAACAAATAATCATCATATTTTCAAGTTATAGAATATGCACAACTATGAATATATTATTCATAGCGCTGCAATTGTCATAGTTAATAATTAGACCCTACTATAGACCTTTTGTATTTATTTAAAGAGTATTTGGCTTTATGTTAGACGCATCAGTTATATATCTTCATCATTAAGACAGTAAGCAAAACCGTGTCATATACTGTCTAAGTAAATAATAACACTAATTATTTAAAGAAATACAATAAATAAAATAAATTTGGCTATTTTTTTATTATTATTATATTACATCCTTACTATAAATTTCTGAGTTCTGAGTTCCAAAAATATTGTTTGTTCTCTAGAATCTATTTCCTACAGTTTTATAAACAGTAATATTAATTTCAAACTCTTTAATGCATATCTTTTTAAAACAGACTACCACCTTCTGGTTTTGGTATTTTTCTTTTACAAACTATAGTTTTTATACATAAGTCGCCAGTTATTTTTTTCTCATGAGCTGAATAACATTGTGAATTTGTCTTAAACACTGGATGTCAAAATGTTAACCTAATAAATAAAAGCCAAGTGTATAAAAACATTTATATGCATTTTTTTCTTTTTTCTCTTTAAAGTTTAATTTCATTTATCATTTAAGAGATTTGTTATAATCAATAATTATTTCGCAAGGAGAAAGGGTAAGAACTGAATCCTCTAGCCAAATGTGAATATGTTATTTGGTTAAGAAGTGGCATTATAGAATATTTTTTGCATTTTAACTCTTTAATTGCTAGTAATGTAGCAATTAAGAAACCAAAATACACTTCAAGGTTAGGGATTGGATGCTCAATGAGGCATCCTTTGAAACATAGGAGGTAGTAGCAAAAACTATCTCAGACTAAGAGTTGGAGCTAAGGGCTTTGGGACTTAACATAATAAGGATTAAAGCATGCAATTGTTCTGCCCCAGCTACGGACCCCAAAGAACGCAGCACACACAAAGTCTGTACCAAACTCAATTTACTAAAATAACTCAGTCTTTTTCAAACAAAGGCTGTTAATAAACTTTCTTAACAGCCTACAAGAAACCAAAGATAAAGTAATCACAATCTTACTATGGTTGGCAGAAAGCCCAGAAGCAATTTACAGAGAATCCAGAGGCGAAGGAGAGTGAACTAAAGTTGTTCCCTACATGTGCTCGCTTCGGCAGCACATATACTAAAATTGGAACGATACAGAGAAGATTAGCATGGCCCCTGCGCAAGGATGACACGCAAATTCGTGAAGCGTTCCATAGTTTAAAAAAAAAAAGTTGTTCCCTACAAATTGCTTCAGTCGGCGTTCCTCCTTAAATAGGCTAAGCTCCAAGCCTTACTCTCGAGGAGTCTGAGGAGCCACTCCTGCCTTTTGCCAGCTCTGCGCGCCCGTGCATTGAGAAGAGGCTCCTCCTCTTCGTCCTCTTCACTTAAAGGAGCTTCTGGAGATTCTGAAGGCCTTGGCTGAATCCCTGCCTCTGGCACCACATCTTCTCCAGCCTCCTCATTGTCTGACTCAAGCACCAGCTGCACAGGCTGCTGGTGCAGCACCACACCAGCTTCCTCATTGTCAGAATCAGCTACAGTCTGCACAGGCCGCTGACGGGCCACAACAGCAACGTTTCATTAACCAAATTACCTTTGGGCTTATTGGTATTCTAAAATTTCCATAGCTACAGCTTTGTATTATGCCAGTAAAATATGAAATAATAGGGTATACAGTGCATGGAAGCATACAGGGTATAAAATGCATCTATAGCATTGTTATATTTATATTGAACTGTCTTTGACATAGAAAAACCATTTGTTTTCTATACTGTTAATATTGTCACACGATCAAACAAGAATAAGTGAGTTTTGGTAGAGTCTTGGATCTAACAAATTCCAAATAAAAAGATTGTCAGAAAGAAATAAAACAATGTTATATAATCCTTTCATCTTCTTCATATAAACTGAGAATGGTGAAATTGTTTGATTGATTCATTGATTCATTCATTCATTCCATTTATATCCCTCCATTTATTTGTGATAGAATTTTTATGCAATGCAAAAAAAAAAAAAAATTGCAGATAAGAAAGCCTTCTACTTACAACCACCGTTAAGCCCAACATTTCTGTTGATAAGCAAGTCAGTTGTTAAATGAGTTTTGTCCCATTTTACAACCTTCTTTGCCACAGTTGTTAAGTGAATCACTGTACTTGTTGAGTGAATTATGTGATAGTTAAACGAATCTGGTTTCCCTCTCCCCCATTGATTTTGCTTGTCAGAAGTCATTTGGGAAGGTTACAAATGATGATCAACTGACCCCGGGACAGTGCAACTGTCATAAATACATGCTAATAGCCCAGCGCCCAAATTTTAATCGCGTGACCATGGGGATGCTGCAACAGTCATAAATGTCAAAACTGGTCATAAGTCATTTTTTCAGTGCCATTGTAACTTCAAGCGGTCACTAAATGAATGGTTGCAACTATCATACATGTTGATGCAGGTGTGTTTAAAGAAAAATAATAAATGAATAAATAAAATTAAAAAGACTT